ATCCTCATTTCTAAGTTTATCACGCAGAGAAACTCCGAGCATAGCCCTCTCCATAGCTCGCTGAGCGACCTTGAGCTTCCTCATCCGGCCAGCAGTGAAGGACCACGTCTCAATTCCATAGGTCATCACTGACAACACGCACTGGTTGTACAGTCTCGTTTTCAAGTTTTGAGGTATACCTGAAGAGAAAATATGTCATAATTTCCCGAACGCTGCCCAACCGAGTTGAATCGGTCGATTGACCTTTCGGTCGAAGTTGGACTTACCTAGTCGGACTATTTGTCCCAGGTAAACCTACCCGTCAACAACTTCGAGCTTAGTGCTCCCAACAACTACCGGCATAGGTGTGACATGGACATTAAACATGATCTTTGTTTTGTCCATGTTCATCTTAAGACTTATCCGTTGGGAAACACTATTGAGGTCATTGAGCATAGTGCTTAGGTCCTCCAGCGATTCTGCCATAAGGACTATATCGTCCGCAAATCGAAGGTGAGTTTTGTACTCGTCATTGATAGTAATACCGTATCCTTTCCAGTCTAGAAGCCTGAAAACGTCTTCCAATGCAGCGGTGAAGAGGTTCGGGGATATAACATCACCCTGTCTTACACCTCTCTGCAATTGGATAGGTTTCGTACTCTGGTTCTGTACTCGGATAACCATCGTTGCTCTACTGTACAAACACTTCAGCACTTCGATATACCGACAGTCAACTTGGCACCGCTGAAGGGACTGCAGCACCGCCCAAATTTCGACGGAATCAAAGGCTTTCTCATAGTCCACATACGCCAGACATAGTGGCAAATTGTACATTTCGGACTTCTGTATAGTTTGCCGAAGGGTATGTATGGTCCATGGTGCTAAAGCCCTTTCGGAAACCGGCTCGTTCGGGAGGCGGGAAGTCGTCAAGTCTGCGCGCGAGACGATTCGTAATGGCTCTCGAAAACAGCACGTAGACGCGGCTCAGAAGGGAAATCGGTCTGTAGTTCTTCAAGAGAGCGTTGTCACCTTTCTTGAACAACAAGACCACCGCACCACTGCTCCACGCCTCCGGTGTAATGCCACCATGAAGGACGAAATTAAAAAGCTTCTGAAAGACTTCAAGTACCAGTCTTCCACCCGCTTTCAGAAGCTCCGCTGTAATTTCATCCTCGCCTGGGGCCTTGCCGTTTTTAAGGTGCTGGAGAGCCATTCTAATCTCGCTCACACTGACGTCCGGGATATCTTCGGAATAGTGTCGGGTGAGACTCGCTCTTGGATCGTTACTCACACTTGCGTGTGGCTCCAACGATGACGTGTACAGCTGCCCATAGAACCTCTCAATCTCAATCAAAATCTCGGGTGTCCCGAAAACGATGCTGCCACATTCGGTCTTCAGTTTTGACAGTTGGCTCTTTCTGGCACACAGATCTCTGGCAAAGACTTTGGAGCCTTGGTTCCACTCGATCGCTTTTTCAATACAAGCTGTATTGAAGTTGCGTAAGTCCCGCCGCATGCATTTGGAGATCTGTCTGTTCAGTTGCCTGTATGCTGTCAAATCTGTTGAAGAATGTAGCTTCATCTCCCGTCTAACAGCCATGAGATTAAGAGTGTGATCGGAGAGTTTTAGTGTTCTTCTGCGGCGGGTCTTGCAGAACTTAGCTCCGACCGCATGGACAGTTTCCACGAGCTTGTCATTCATATCGTCCACTTCATTGCGGTTTTCTAGGCACTGAAAACGGTTTTGTAACTCGAGCTGAAAGGTTTCGGGACTTTGGAACAGTGCACGAGGGGGACGGAGCGTTGACTTCATTAGACGCGACCTCTCCAACTTAACGTCTAGGTTCAGTGTGCCTCTAACCATTCGGTGATCGCTACCTGTTTTCACCCTCGCGATCACGAAGACATCACTGAACAGTTGTCGTCTGGTCGTCACAATGAAGTCAATCTCATTTTTTGTCGAACCGTCGGGGCTCGACCAGGTCCACTTCTTGTGGGGCTTTTTTCTCCATGAAGTCGGCCAGCTGCTGGCCCCTTGGGTTCCGTTGCCCTATTCCAAATTTCCCTACTTTCAGCTCACCGTTCTCTCTTGTGCCTAGTTTTGCATTGAAGCCTCCCATTAACACCGTATATTGGATTGATTTGATTTTGGAGGAATGCATGGCTCTAGAGATATCCTCATACATTTCCTCCACCGCCTCATCGGGGTGTGCCGAGATTGGTGCGTAAACCTGTATGACCTTCAGCGAATACCGTTTGGTGATTCTGAGTATAAGGTACGCAACCCTCGTCGACACACTCCCGATCTTTACAACGTTTTTAACGAGAGACGACACCTCCTTGGGACAGATGGTCGCCCTCCCGGTGATAGAGCAAGTTGCCGGATTCGAGGATTACTGTGTCCTCCCCCTCTCTTCGGACTTCAGATAATCCTATAATATGCCAGCGCAACTTGTCTATCTCTTCTTCCAGCTCCACGATCTTCTCGTCAGTCCCCACGGTGCGTGCGTTGTACGTTGCCAGGTTGAGTTATCTAAGGTGGCAACCGAACCTCCACCGGAGATTCTTAGCACCCCCCCCCCCCTTTTTAAATGTAATCAGCTAAATGTGTAAGGTAAATACATATTTTTTTTAAAGAAAATACTATTTATTTTATTAATTTTTATTAAAGACGTACAATATACACAAGAAAAAAAGTTAAGAGGGTATTTACAAGGATATTTCACATAGCAGATCCATTTAATACTGCTTTAAACGATTTAGTAAAGATAATTAATTCAGAAGCAAATTAATAAAATGTGATTTTTCATTCCATTCAATTGTGTATTATGAATACGCAATCGATTTGATTTAAAAACACTTTCAAATAAAATAATAAGCATGAAACAGTTTTTATAAAATTAAAGAATACTAAAATAATTTAAACCTTAAATAATTGTATCTACTATAAAAATTATTGCCCTAATTGGATATTTACCTACGTCTTATGAAAGTGCACAACATTTAACAGTGATTAAAATTATCTAATTACTAGTGATTTACTTCTAAACAATCAAAGAATTATCTTAATATTTAAAAGATTAACTTAATAAATTTTAAGTTGTTTTAATCTAAAAAACTTAACAGTAATTTATCGCTAATTTGATATGTTTGATATTCTTGTGATCACATAATTTGATGCTGAAGCTCGAGCTGACGCCCATACTCTTTACGCTTATTCTTAGAATCTTTAATTGAATTAATGTCCTGCTAACCATTTTGTCAATTTTCACGTCAGCTAACTGTGAATAGTTTTCCATATAAGTTTCTTACGTACTTTTGTTTAAGAGCTCCAACTAACAAAGAACGATAGTCGGAGCGCTGCGTATACTTCAAGAGACGCCGAAATAATGCATAACTTCTTGGCACGCACTCGAGTACACATACTTCATCTTTCTTTTTTATCAGCCCGTATAAGTTAACTACTAGACGCACACATCATATCGTTGGTTGCAAATGATTTTAGATGCATATGTGTACGTGAGTGTGTGTTCCTACAATAAGTTGCGTGCGGTTTTGGCTTGGTTTTTGTAACGCTTGGAAAGTACCCAGTGCTCCATTTTTTTTTCTTTGTTGATCTGAATTTAAGATGAATATTTTTAATTTTTTATTCAATATCTTCAAAAATCACAATATTATATTATATCGTATATTTTATGTGCATGTGCTTATTATGCATGATTTTTAATAAATCCGAAATATAAAAAATGTAAATATTCGTTGATTCTGAAGTTTGTAAGCTTCCTTAATTACAAATCAATACAGCGGAGATTTAAAACAACTCCAATCTGATGTGACTAAAACATTGATGATGTGATAGTCAGCGTTTAATTCTTTTCGATCGTCTTCCGTATTACCTATGGACATTTTATGCTAAATAGGTATTACTTATTCAACTAGCTCTTCAGTCTTGGACGTTACACTTAAATAGAATACTTCTAAAACCCGCGTCGAATATTTTATTTTAAAATGTGTTTGTAGTACGTTTTAAATTTAGCATCTGTATACTATTGTTACTATAGCTTGAATTAAAATACGCACAAATATAGTGTAGAAGAAAGATAATTTCTTGTAATTTTGAAACATCCAAAATAATTTTAGGAGCTCTTTAATTTCTTACATTAATTTGATCTAAAGAAGATAATTCAACAACATTATAACTATAAATATTTTAATATCAATCAAATTATGAATTTAGGTATTTATGAAATGTTTCCTAAGATAGGTAAAATCACATTTACTTGTAACTGAAAACATTAAGACACACAGCACGACCAAATGACAACATCTAAAGAAGAAAGCGAAAATTTTACACTACTTACTCCTTTCCTTCAATTTTATTTTAAGTTACACTATATTTTTAATGCTAAAAAATGAATCGTTTCTAAGACTGAAATGATCACAAATAGGTAAATTCATATCTGTATACCTAACCAACATTGTATAAGGTTGCACACAATATTTAATAATAATATATAAAAATATATTGCTCAAGATTTCAGTGGGTCGGTTTGTCAAATCAGTACAATACGGTAAATGCTTGTAGATTAACTCTATTTAAGGCTGCAAGTACAACATAAACACTACACCTAGTAATCAGCACACCCTTTTCCTTGATAAAAACGCTTGTTCCCTTTCTTATGCCAACAAAGTTAATTCTGATGTTACAGTTCAATAATGAAATTTCTTTCAATTCAAAATGTTAATAAGATAAACATTATAAACGTTTAGCGACAGAAAATTTTCGGTTAAAAATCAATAATAAGTTATATTTAAATTCAATTCGACTATAAATAAATACTTCTTTAAGTGCCTTATCTACGGTTTCTTAATTGTATATATAATCATTTAAAAAACTTATCTGCTAGTGATATGTTTTGATATGTATTCGTATTAATAACATTGATATGTATTTGATCACAAAGTTATAGTGTTCACAGGATTCACACAAGAGACATGTGTCCTGTTACTAGTCTACGAACCTAATCTTCTGGCCATCCGAGATCTTCACCTACGAGATCATAAAATCGTTGGTTGTGTTGGACGAAAAATTTGCGAAGCTTGGTGACTACAGCGGGATCAACTCTAGGGTGCTTGCGGCCCTTTGTTTCTCTGAGACATTTGTCTGTAGTGTCATTTCGTAAGCAGTAAAATCCTTTTGTTTCGTTGAAGTAAAAATTTTTCCTCCCTGTTGTAAAATTAAAGCATATACTATAAAAATTTATTGTTTCACATGTACATATCAATAATACTTTTATATTTGACTGCCTTGGTCTTGTGGTCGTAAGCGCTATTGCTGATCCCGGGTTCGAATCCAAATACAAAAATCTATTATTGTTTTTTTTTTGTCAAGAACTTCTTAGGTCTCTCTCCGATCGTGTCAGATTGCCGTCCAATCGGAATATGAGAGTGAGGGAATAGGGGTGTATCTGTACTTGCGTACACAGTCGTGCAATCCTGTCCTGCTGAAATGAGATATGTGGATCCTAATCTCCATTGAGTCTAGCCGACATGACTGAAATACGGTTTAGAGGATAATATTATTATGTGGTATCTATAAAGTTTTCTCATCTGGTTGGGCAATATAAATATATAATTGTAAATAAACATGGTAAACGTACATAAATATCAATAAAATAAAATAAATACATTAAAATAATATAATATAATTATAATTAATTAATTATAATGTAATAATAATAATTATTATTATTATAATATAAAAAGCGATATTTAAAACACGTACCAATTTTATGTTCGAGTCCAAGAAACTTTTCTATGCGACGCAATTGAGGCACGGGGTCTTCAATAAGCTGGTCTCCATTTACTACCAGTATTTGTTCACGGGGAAATACTTCAAGCCACCGGTGAAGGTACGCGTGGTATAGAGATATTGCGATTGGCCTGTTGACATTACATACAACTGTTATACCACTGGAAGTTTAACATTATTTCTTATAATATTAAAAATAAAAACACACATATGCCTAATCGTTGTTTAATTATTAATAACTCCTTCACTCACTCTCATTATATTAATATTTCATTTCCAGAAATGTATGACAAATAAAAATGAAATCAGATGGATAATAACAGCTGCAGAGTAAATAGTTTCTTTATACTTAATGTATGTGTAGTTCCTCTTGGTAGGTTCTATACCTCTTTATTACTTATATACTCTTTATTACGTATATACTACTATATATACTCGTTATATACTAGTGCTTGTACTATTGTATTCTGGGCTCAGTGGTATAAAGAACTAAAATATGTCAGGCATTCCATCTTAGCCCTCAGAAGTGACTAGCATCTGTAGCTTGTTTGTTTCAAGTTGATTGCAGGTGTTACTTAGCATCAGGTGAACTAAAAGTTCTTTTGCCACTTCAGTTTTCATATTCTTCTCAACAAACCCTTTCATTTTGATACCCATATCATGGGAGTGTATAATTTTTTTTTATAGTTCGTCATCTTGGGCGGTCCACGTTATTGAATTTACAATGACGTAACTTAGTTAAGCAAGCATTGTCATCCAAACTAAATGTGTACCTATGCGAAAATTCAGCTCAATCGGCTGAAGATAACTGCTTAGAAAAATTTGATCTGACCAAACATTCAAACATTGCAAGTTAAATAAAATATTGTTATAAGTCATACGTGGTAGAGCCATGCTGCAGATATATTATGGTTGTAGCACGAATGGATCGGCTCGACCAGGGAAGAACCACGCTCTCACAGAATACCAGCGTAAAATAGCAGCTTAACGCTGCTGTGTTTCGTATGGTGAGTGTAGAGAACCCGAGACTTTTTACTAGAAATGAGGCATTCCATCTTAATCCTCACGGGTGACAACGCATCTGCATTTTAATTCGTAATAGAAGATAGATGTAGATGTCTATAACCACTTACCATCAAGTGGACTGTGTGTTCGTTTCTCACCCTTATCGTATAAAATAAAGCTTGTAAACAAAACATTTAGAATCCATGAAAAAATAATACAAATATTGTAATTTGGTCAATTCCTAACCTATAAGCTACGTTTATAGATCCGTCTGGTGAAATCGCGAGATGTTCAAATGGCTTAGCAGCATCGGACACTTGATGTGGAGTGTGGCCAGATGACAAGGCGTGAGCTGGGGCTGACGGCGTAGTTCGACTTCGTAGTTGCGTGTAGTCCGAAATGGCACGTGTCACTGGTTCTCGCACTATCAGCAATAAACGCACGGAGGAATTCATTGCGCGAACACGTTCCGGTACCTACAATAAATAATATTTTTTTAGTGTATGAGTATGTGCTAACAATATCATCGTTCCATGTACTTTAAATATGTAATGAAACAGTAATAATTACAGAAATAATTATCTATAAATCAAGCTACCTTATTTTGAGTTACATATTCAAGGTTAGAATCGATTTTAGTGAAATAATTTATTGATGGAACATGTCGACGGTGTCACTCAAGAAAGCATTTGTATCCCAAAATGGCAATCAGTTTACTATTTATATACGGATACCTATCAGTCGTTATTTTAAAAGGTTAAATCTACTAAACTTTAAAAAACGATTCTTAAAAAAAATCCTAACTATTGAAATTATTGTGTAACTTTTACTTTAATGTTAACCGTAGTAGCTCAGGGAATAAGTGGTATGCGTGCAAACCGGATTCGGTTCGGGTCAGCGACTACACCAAAGGAGTTGATAGTTACAATTTGATGTGCCAATTTATCGTTACCATAAAACCTCTCGGAAATAAGAGATTAGCTATGCGAGGCAATGCGACGTATTTATAGGCTCTTACTTATATCTTAAATATTATAAGTTTTTATTACTTACAAAATCTTAAACATATGAATTACCTCAGGTGTGACGAAGTAGCTAGGACTTTTTTCTATTGTAATCTGACCCCTGAAAGAAAGTGGCATTTTACTCCTGTACCAGTCAAGTCCAAGGGCGTAGTTTTCATCCCGGTCAAAAAAGTGGACTTCCCCTGACGCTTTCTGTACCATGGGGTGTAGATACAGCATTTCCAATAGAGCTCGTGTTCCACATTTGCGTACTCCAATTATTAAGGCCTGTTGAAATAAAAGGAAGAAGATTCTAGTAGTAACTTCAACGAGATATTTCATGAAATAGCGTAACAAACATTTAATACCTGAGGCAGTCTTCGTGCAGGTCGGGGAGGTCGCGCTGGTTTTAGTCGTTTCCGTAAAGCCATTGGATGGTTTATGTTACGGGTGTTACTTTGTTGATTTTGAAGGATATTACGATTTTCATGAGTGGCCGAGACCATACTTGCTGCCTGAGAACATAACTTAGCTTAAGTTACAAACAAGTGAGATCATGTTATAGAATAAGGGTGACAAACGAGCACACATCCCATCTGATGGTAATGGATGCTATAGATGGTGTGGTCTATATACACCTACATCTAATCTCTAGTAAGAATTAAAATGTAAATGCGGTGTAACCCTAGAGAAATGCCTTATCAGTAAAAAGGTTCCGTCGTTCTTTAGACTCTCCTTACGGATACACAGCAGCATTAAGCTCCTATTTAACGCTGGTGTTCTGTGAGATCGTGACCCTTCCCCGATCGAGTCAACCTGTATAGGTCGAAGCTTAAAGCTGCAAAAATAAAGCTGTAGTGTAACTCGAACACAAATTTTAAGAAAAACTACGCTGACTGACTGCTGATTGATAATAATAATAGATTCTTGGATAATATTATGACATCAAGAGCTATATGAGCGCATATAGCAGCTCTTGCATACCAGCATATTATCATTGTAAATACAACAAATACAATACAAATACAAACACTCACGCCTGTCACCCAGAGGGGTAGGCAGAGACTACGGACTTCCATTTGGCGCGATCCTGACACACCTCTCTCGCCTCCTTTTCATCCATATATCTACGCAAACACGCTCGTCGGTTAAGGGTACTCCTAATTTGGCCCATTTTTAATGTATCGTCGATTTGGTCGATTTACCTTCGTCTAGGGCGTCTAGGTCTTCTCTTTCAAAAACCATCACTTTCGTCTTATTTGCGTTCACTTTCATACCCCTTTCTTTCAATGACTAGTTCATTAAAGTAGCCATCATTTGCAACTCGGCCGCCGATGATACAAATATGACTTGATCATCGGAGTACAAAATGCATTTGACGGTTAACTCACCCATTCTCAACCCACATTCTTCAACTTTCAAAGTTTGCAAACAGCTGTCCATAAATAGGTTAAGCAGCCACGGGGAAGCCACATATCCCTGTCTGACACCTTTATGAATACCAAACCAGTCCGAGTAAACCCCGTTTATCCTGACACAAGCACTAGAGTCCCTATAAAGAGACCTTAATGCCTGTATCAAGCCAGCGCTCAACCCAAATGAGTTCAGTGTTTGCCATAACACATTCCTGTCCACTCTGTCATAAGTCTTTTCCAAGTCCATGAACGCACAAAAAACTTTCTGGTTTTTGGCCAAAAACTTCTCCGCAATCGTGCGCATTGAAAAGACTTGATCCGTACAACCCATCCCCTTTCTAAATCCAGCTTGCACATCGCAAATTTTTCCATCAGTTTCTTCCATAACTCTTTCAATTAACACCTTAGCATACAGTTTACCCACAATGCTAAGCAAGCTGATACCACGGTAGTTTTTACAGTCCTGCTGCAAGCCCTTTCTCTTATATATTGGGACTATAACGGCTTTGCACCAGTATTCCGGTACCTGCTTCAGTTCCCAACATAAATTAAACAAGGTGCACAGCAAGCCTGCAACCACACCCTTTCCAGCCCTTAGCATTTCGAGTGATATTCTATCATATTCGGCTGCCTTACCTGCTTTCATGCTTTTCATTGCTTTCATTATTTCATCTACACTTATCTCCTTACGTCTCTCCACTTCTTCGGGAATTTCTATTTCACTTACTTCAGACGACTCTTCACTCTTAAACACGCTTTCAAAGTATTCCTTCCATCTCTTTAAATTCGAAACTTCATCATTCAGCATGCAGCCATTCTCGTCTCGTATAGCATTCATTCTAGGCTGTTTTGAATTTCCCCTGGCAGTTCTTACGAGCTTCCAGAACATTTTAATATTTTCCTGGAAGGTTTCAGATATCCTTCTATCATTCTTATCTATCCTTAATTGCTTTTTCGTTTCAACAACTTCTTTTACTCTCTTATTTATACGTCTAAAGTCTGCCTTTTTTCTTTCAATCTCATCATTCATACCGCCAGAATTACCAGCTTTGGTTGCTAGTAAATCTAGCCATGCTTTCTTCTTTGCTTCAACTTCCATCCGTACCTCATCATCTCACCACAACGTATTAATTTTCCTTTCATTCTCTCTCTTACTTACACCACATACTTCGGTGGCTGCATCCACCAAAACTTTCTTATTATTATTCCATACATTCTTCAAGTCTTAATCATTCATACATAATTCATTCAACCCACTTATATTTACCCTCAGTCTGCATTTATACTTCTCTTTCACACCTTCATCTTGTAACCTCCCTATTCTGATACGCTGTAACGCAGTGGTAGACACAGATGTCCGCTGCCGCCAACGCCTGAATAGACCATTCATTCGGCATAAGACCAAGTAATGATCCGACCCTACGTTGGACCCTCGGTAAACCCTTATATCTACCACTGCGCTCCTCATTCTTTCATCCACAATTATGAAATCTATCATGCTTCTTTCATCCCCTCTTTCCCATGTATACATGTGAATCCTCTTATGGCGAAAGAAAGTGTTCGCCACAAAAAGATTCTTTTCCACACATACGGTGAGGAGGTCTTCACCATTCTCATTTATTCTTTCATCGCCAAACGTTCCTAATATCCTTTCATAACCAGACCTCTTCACACCAACCCTTTCATTGAAATCTCCTAACATAATAATATTTTTAGTTTAAGTTTCATTTTCCTTACATTTCATCAACACCAGCCTTATCATGTCCCAAAACTGCTCTCGGATATAAGTGGGTTTAGACATATCTGGGGCATACACCCCTAGTACAGGTAAGCGGTTGCTGTGACCCATAGACAACCACATCTATCCTCAATAAAGAATCAAAATGCAGATGCTTTGTCACCCGTGAGGACTAAGATGGAACGCCTCTTTTCTAGTAAAATGGGTCTCCGGTTCTCTACACTTACCATACGTAACAGTGTTAAGCCGCCACTTCACGCTAGTATTTTGTGAGAGCGTGGCCCCTTCCCGGTCGAGCCGATCCATTCGTGCCACAACTATGCTACTAATATAGCTGCAGCATGACTCTACCACGTAAGTATGCGAAGGCTACTTTTTGAGCGCATATAGCAGCTCTTGCATACCAGAATACAGGTACTGTAAATATTTTATTTTATACTAGACTATTGATACACTTATATAGCTTACACCTTTGTGACTATTATTCTTTATCTTTTTATATGTTCTTCTGAGCATACAAGAAGAAACATGTGTAATAACATGCCCATAAAACTAAAGATATGCAAGGTTACGCACACCGTCACATAGACCTCAGTATATTCAAACGTTCAGATACAAAGTTCTAGGAAATTCCTTCAAATTTGCCTCTAAATTGCTTCCATAACATCATTAAATTTAATATTAGCAATAATTATTTTCATTCATATGAAATTATTTCATATAAAGTTGTTACCTATAGTTACATCACTAGAAGGATTAGAAGGCAATGTTCGTTCGTCTAGCCTTTAATAAATAATCCGGCCTAAAATACCATGGCATTCCCCTTGAATACATGATAACATGAGTAACCTGGTATGAAATTATCGATGAATGTTTGATGTGCGTGAAATGACGATAGCCGTTATAATTAAACTATCTGCTTAATTGATTCATTTTAACGTATGTACATAAAGTATATTGGCGTAAAGCCTTCTAGGTATGGTGCGGTTAATTGAATGTCAACGTTGTTATATTTTGAGCTTCGTTTAATGCCACTTGATTAAAATACTTGATTTAAGCATTAAATTGCTATTCCGTCATGTAATATAAATCATGTGTGAAAATAATTAATAAACTAAGCTTAAAATAAATTGTAAAAGTTACTATTAACTTTCTTTTTCATCAGCTCGTAAAAGTCCAATACTGGACTTTGGGTCTCTCGTTGCAGAGAGGGCTTGTTGTAATCACCGCGCTTGGAAGGCAAAATAGCGGTGAAACGTCTAAATGTTTAAGTGTAAGGAGAGCCATTTATCTAGGAGACGTACACTGAAAACTATGCTTCAATTGGAGCTATAAAAATGTTACTTATAATGGTATTTTTTTATTATTGCAAGTATTGAATTATATTTTTATTGTATTCCTTTCTTGTTTGCGTTCAGCTATTTAGCAAAAACAATTTTACCACGACCATTACCTCAACAAGCTCTACACTTTTAATTAAATGCAGGAGAAGATAGCGCATTCGATTAGCATGTGCTAAGTTGTTTTTGCTCAGGCCATTGTTTAAGCCCAACTGACATGTGCATTTTCAAGCAATAATGTTCAGACTGGGCTCTTTCCGAAATGCGTAGTTTAATCATCATCATCATTACAGTCCTTTATAAGTTCCAATTAAACTACACTACTAAAGAGCAGTCTCCATTTAACTTCTGCATGTCTTACCAGGTCATACTTCACTCACTGATACGAGGCCGCCACTAGAGAACCTTGAGAATAAACGAGCACACAGTCCACCTGATGGTAAGTGGTTGCTGTGTCCCATAGACATTTACATCTATCCTCGTTTGCGAATCAAAATGCAGATGCGTTGTCACCCGTGAGGACTAAGATGGAATACCTCATTTCCAGTAAAAAGCGTCTCCGGTTCTCTACACTCACCATACGAAACACAGCAGTGTTAAGCTGCTATTTTACGCTGGTATTCTGTGAGAGCGTGGCCCTTCCCCGGTCGAGCCGACACATTCGTGCTACAAAATGTGGTGCTATAAAATGTGAAACTATATAATTATTTTTCATCGCCAATTTAGCGTACTGATCCGTTGTTGGGTCATGTCCGTTACTCATACGGCAAGCCGTGAAGGACTATGTCTCAGATATACATATACGTCATGACAACACGGGCTACTTGTATACTCACTAAGAGTATTCGTAGTTTCAGGTTTCAGGGATAACGTGATGATAAGTTTTTTATAGAATAAGGGTTACAAACGAGCACACAGTCCACCTGATGGTTAGTAGATTCTGTGGCTCACAGATATCTACATTTAACCTCAATTAAGAATCAAAATGCAGATACCTTGTCACATCTGAGGACTAATATGGAATGCCTCATTTCTAGTAAATATGTGTCGTAATCTTCCCAATGCCGCCTAGACGTGTTGGGCCCGTCGATTAACCTCTCGGTTGATTTCGGTCTTACATTATTAGACAATTTGTTCTAGTAAACTCGCGATACCATCCATACCATCTAGATGATTGGCGGTTCACCACTCTGCGATTTAGAAGAAGTTTTCTTCCTCGCACAACTTCCTTGTGGAATCCATTACCACCGGCGATTTTTCCGGACCGATACGACTTAGGGACCTTCAAGAAAAGAGCCTACTCCTTTTTAAAAGGCCGGAAACGCATCTGCAATTCCCCTGGTGTTGCAGTTGTTCATGGGCGGCGGTAGTCACTTACCATCAGGTGAGCCGCATGCTCGTTTACCCCTTCTCCTATTAAAAAAGGTATCCATACTTGTCAACAACTTTGGACGTAGTGTTCCTACCAATTATTTTGGTATGAAATGTACGTTACACATGAACTTTGTGAATGGAAAGACCATGTTAATTTTGAGAGTAGGGAGACACTATTAAGGTCATTATCATAGTTTCATCCTACGTAATGCTAGAGAGATCAGGCCGATATTGTTTATGGCAAGTAAAGGATTTCAAAAATCAACTAGGTTCTATAAATAGCTCTGGTCCAAACTGATTTAATTTTGATCTATTTATTCCATGTGACCTTTTGATTTGTTCATTACCTATACGAGATGCGAAATACGAGTGAAACTTCTGTATGCTGCTTATTAAATATGCACTGTTGGAAAGTTTAGAAGCATTTTCTTATATATTTTACCATGATTTAGAACGTATATTGCGAAATTACAATGAAATAAGGAAAGTATTTTTTGTCTTATCTTTCAAGAACAGCGGCTAGAAACATTAATTATGATAGCGTATACGTTGCTGACACGAACGATCTGTAGGCGAAATGTGGGCTTGGCTAGAATACACCCCTCAAGCACGCCTCGTATATTTCGATGATTCAGATGGTCTAATTCAAATATTCATTTAACAAATATAAAAGTTATATCGTCGAACGATGATTAAGCTAATAATCCTTATTTTGACAAAATTAGAAAATATTTACATATTTTAATTAGTTATAGAGAATAAAGAGTGGCTTTCTGAACTGTTTAATTTTAGCTTTCTATTACTTAAATATGAAAAAATAAGTTAAAGCGATGTGTTCTTGACACCATAGTACTGTAGTTTCATGATTAATGTTTCACGGTGAACACAGTCGAAGGCCTTGGAAAGGTCACAAAATATACCCAATCATCCGCTTAATTCTCCCATGCACAAAAATCCGGCGTCAGTTGTCGAGCGTCTCCTTGTAAAACCGACATAACAAATTCGCACAGTGTACGTCATAATAGTAAGTGAATACCTTAATGATTTCTTATGTTTACACGAACATTACACATTTATATTTATTACACATTAACAGAAACTGTATGTTGATATACGCGATAAAATCTATAAAATACTACTTTGAATATGACTTTGCTGCGTTGGTCATAACTCATAATGCGTACATCACAAGAGTAATAATGTGCCAACATAAGTTTTCCCACAAGGTAATAATGTTGGCGTATTCAAGGCAAGAGTAAACAGGCTTTTGTTAAGATAAGTCAGCAGTGCGCTTTACCATCTTCAGCTGCATCACAAGTCATCATCAGATGAGATAAGAGTCAAGCACTGGTATATAATAGTTAAAAAAACAAGCACTTACGTATCATCGATCAAGGACCAAATTGCAAAGGGTTAAAATGTCTCGTTACTAGCAAAAGAGGTCTCCGGTCCTCCGGTCCTCACTATAAAAAACCGCAGGTTTGCGCTGCTATTTTACACTGGTATTCTATGAGAGCGTGGTCCTTACCGGACCGAGCCGAACCTATTGTGCTGCACGCATAATACAATTGCAGTGTGGCTCTACCACGTATACACTACGTGTCAAAATGTAAGGAAATCTATTTAGTTTTAAATTAATATTATAATAAAGAAAACTTTTGAAAAAAAATTTATAATTTTCTAAATTTAGATTTAATGTTCGAGCCTCGGTAACTTATAAGAGCCTTGTTTACCTGAGTGCTGACGAGCAGCACTAATGAAACTATTTATCGCAATTAAAATGTTCTGATGGTCCCAGCATTAAAATATGTAAGGGTATGCTTTTTGCAAGTGCAAGCACACAGTTCACCTGATGGTTAGTGACTTCTGTGTTCCACAGACATCTAGATCTATCTTAATTTAAGAATGGAGATGCATTGTCACCTTTGAGGACTAAGATAGGATTCCTCATTCCCAATAATAAGCGTTAAGCTGAAAAGCTAAAACGTTTCTTCGTATTTTATATACAAATTCAAGATTCCTTTTTAAGTTTAATTACATTTAATTATAATATGTTATGCCATTTTGTTCGATAACTTGTTAATCTTGTAGGTAGTGACATAATCCTGTTGCTGTAGAAATCTTGGGATTTTTGATAAAAAAAATATATTTTTTATTAATAAAAATACTACTTATGCTATTAATATTACTAATATCCTCTTTTTTTTATAGGATAAGGGTGACAAACGAGCACACAGTCCACCTGATGGTAAGTGATTGCTGCGGCCCATAGACATCTCCATCTATCCTCTATTACAGATAAAAATGTAGATGCGTTGTCACCCGTGAGGACTAAGATAGAATGCCTCATTTCCAGTAAAAAGGGCCTCCGACCACCTGCACTCACCAAGCGAAACGCAGAGGTAAACTTCTACTTCACTCTGGTTTTCTGTGAGGTCGAGGTACCATCCCGGTTCGAGCCGGCCCATCCGTGCGACAGCAAAAGCTGCCGCGTGGCTCTACTACTGTTTAGATAGAAAGGGAGGCTGGGTACTAACTAACGCCTGCTTGGGATCCTGTAATTAATACAATTAAAACTAAACCCAAGCATACCACTGCAAGACTTCAAGACACAACAAGTTCATTCTGCGTAGATCGGATCAAAATTAATAATTAAAAAAGCTGAAGGTACTCCGGGTTGACTCTGACATCGGGACATCAATCACCTCAGCCCTCGTGACTATGGGTGCTGTAAAGTACCCGAAACGTTGGGAATCAATAAAAAATAAGTTAATGAAACGCAATAGAATCCCTAAAAGTAGTTTTATTCAATTTGTAGTGTTCGTGTAAATATAAGAAATCATTATAAAAAAATACAGGCATATTCCTCTTAACAGCAAAAGACAAGAAATAAAAATGCTGACATTCAAAAAGCCCAGACGTTTGCTTTATTTTATGAGTGGTGTTTACAGTTTTATAATGTAATTTATCAAATTGTTTTATGATCTGTAACATAAATAAAGTAGATATATTTACTGCAATATAAAAATATATTACCTGTATACTGTACAACGCACTGTCATATAGCACATGGAAGGTGAGAAAGAGTGACAGTAGCGTGACTGAGAGTAGGGCCGCAGCTAATTTTGGTCTCGACACGCCCACTACTAACACGCAGTCTGCTAATTCGCCTTCCGCAGGTCGAAACGAAGAACGTGGTAGCCATCTATAGTAATAACAAAATAGGAAAATATTAAATTATTTAATTTTAATGCATTCTTTTTGCAATATATTCATATTTGTATTTACAAAATGAATGTATTTTTGTGTAATACAATATGTTCAAGGTTTATTTTTCTGCTATTGTATTAACCGAAAGGGTACTTTTCAATATTATATTTTAATTTACTTATTTCCTGTATAAATTTGATGTTAATGCAAATATTTAATATAGACTAGCGACCTGCCGCAGCTTCGCATGGGTGATTTCTGAATCTCTACAATAGCGCCACCTGCCGGTTCTAATTGTGAATTTTAACTTTCTAAGGCTAATCGTTCAAAGACACACAAAAATTGCATCAATATCGGTCTAGCCGTTTAGGAGAAGTTTAATGACAAACACACGTACAGAAGAACTATATATATATATATATTTTTTTTTATAGGATCGGGTGACAAACGAGCACACAGTCCACCTGATGGTAAGTGGTTACTGTGACCCATAGACATCTACATCTATCCTCAATAAAGACTCAAGATGCAGATGCGTTGTCACCCGTGAGGACTAAGATGGAATGCCTCTTTGCTAGTAAAAAGGGTCTATATATATATATATAAAGATTGTATTATATTTACATTTGTGTCCTTATCTAATTCTCTATTTGTGTGTTATACATGGTAGAGCCATGTTGCAGCTATATAGTAGTTACAGCACAAATGGGTCGACTCGGCAGGGGAAGGACCACGCTGTTACAGAATGCTGCTCTGTTTCCTATGGTGAGTGTAGAGAATCGGAGAAGCTTTTTACTGGAAACGAGGCATTTCATATTAGTCCTCAGGGATGGTAACGCATCTTGATTCTCAACCCATATATGTAGATGTCAATGGGCCACAGCATCCACTTACTATTGGATGTGTTGTGTGCTCGCTTGTCACCCATATTCTATAAAAAAATGTCAAAAAAAGTAAGAAAGCCATTATATGTGGTCGTCTTGTCACCTCTAAACGAATTAGATGGAATGTATATGATCGGCCGTTGGATGCTTGCCCTTGACCTAACAACAAGTTATCTATTCTATAAATAAAATTGAAGTGTCTGTCTGTAATATTAAAATAACTGTTTGCTATTAAGTTAACAACGTTATCTTTACTCTATACATATAAATAAAATTGAAGTGTTTGTATGTAATATTAAAATAACTGTTTTTGCTATTAACCTAACAACGTTATCTATACTCTATAGTAACAATAAATTGAAATGTAATATCAAAATAACTGTTTTCTATTAAGTTAAAGGCTTTTTTGCATGCTATAAACATTTTTAAAACTTTTGTCTGTCTGTCATTCTGTCTGTTTGTCTGTCCGGGCTAATCTTAAGAATAACGGAAACGTCTGCGGTGAAACATTATGAACAGATAAAGACAAGAACAAACAGAGAAAGGACTGCCAGGAGGGATCTAGGCAATTTAACCGAAAAATGTGAGTTTAAAAAAAATTTAATTTTATTAAATAAATTATCTTAAATTTATATGGCACCACATTTACATGTCCTATCTAGGCGAAGCCGGGGTGCGTTGCTAGTATCTTATAATATAGGTGATAGGTATAACTAGGGTAGCGTGGGCCCTCTCTGGACATGTTGGCTGATTTATGAGCCCCAAGCCGATCGGTGTTTCTACCTCACACAAGTTTAGACGTGGCAGCGTAGTCCGTCTGTAAACGGGTGGACCGGTTTTCAAGTCGCCAGCAAATATACTCTTATAAATTGTTAGTGTGCCTTAATTTATATATTCCATTTTAAGAAAGATTTTCAGTTATCTTCACTCTTGGTATTGAATATGAGTACCAGACGTGTCGCCCCCTTGGCGTTGCTCACGTCCCCGGACTGAGAATTATACATCTGCCATTTGCAAGAGAGCTTAATCACCGTTTATCTTCGACTTTGACATTTATGGGCCACGATATGAGGTATTAGAATTGCTGACGCCACTGCAAGGCGCTTTTCGATATTTAATGCACTTAGTGGCGGTGTAAGAATATACACTACCCCATCTCGTCCCGTGGGTGTCGTAAGTGGCGAAAGAGGGAAACAAATCAGGAAATGGCCAGCAGCGTCTTCCTAATAACGGCTAGAATAGAAAAACTGCGGTTGCCGACCCGCTTGCCAAGCGTGGCAACTATTGCAAATAGCCCCCCTATGAGGCAATCTATCGGGGAGAACTATGTTCAGCAGTGAATGGGAGGCCTATGTTTAATGGGTTGTACCGGTAACAGTTGCCCATACTCACCACAAGGCTAATGATAATACTAGGTGGTAGAACTCGTTTTCTGTCTACTAGTCTGTCTGGGTAGACACCATCCTTTTACCAAGGCAAAGCACATAGGCAGAATTGGCGAGAAACTAGTTCGCCTTCCTTCGGGAACTCGTGCATTCTGGTCTCTCGCAAAGGCTGTCCAAGGAAATTTCTGTAAGCCATTACTACAATCTCTGCACAGGGAGGATGACTCACTGGCCCACGTCGCAAAAGCGAAAGCCGACCTTTTAGGCTCCCTTTTTGCGTCCAACTCGACTCTTAATGACAGGGGAAACACACCGCCGACAATCTCGCAGTGTGAGTGCTCTATGCCTGATGTGCGATTCACACAGTGCTCAGTACGCAAAGCACTCCTCTCCCTGGACATCCACAAGTCGAGTGGGCCTGACGGAATCTCGCCAATTGTGTTGAGGACATGCGCTCCAGAGTTGGCACCGGTTCTATCGCGTCTTTTTCGGTACCCATACTCCCTAGGCATTGTCCTGAATTCATGGAAGACAGCTTTCGTGCACCCAATCCCTAAAAAAGGTAACCGCTCTGATCCGTTCAATTACAGGCCTATTGCCATCACCTCCTTGTTGTCGAAAATAATGGAGTTCATTCATTATTAACTGCCAGCTCATGCGGTACCTTGAGGAGCACCAGCTGATAAGTGACTGCCAGTACAGTTTCCGTTGGGGTCGCTCAACTGGTGATCTTCTTGTTTACCTAACACATAGATGGGCGCAGGCAATCGAGTCCAAGGGAGAGGCATGGGTCGTTAGTTTGGACATAGCGAAGGCCTTCGATCGGGCACAAAGCACTTCTTTCGAAGTTTCCTTCCTATGGGCTTCCCGAAAAATTGTGCAATTGGATCACCAGCTTCCTTGCATATCGGAGCATCAAGGTCGTAGGAGACGGTGCATGCTCCGATTGCAAGCCTATTAACGCTGGTGTGTCACAAGGCTGCATGCTATCACGAACGCTGTTTCTTCTGTGTATCAATTATATGTTGCAAACCGGTAACATACGTTGCTATGCAGATAACAGCACTGGTGATGCTCTATACACCGGCCGTGCTAGTGTTTCTCGGGAAAACGTCGCCGTGTACTGGAACAAACTTGTGTCTGAAGTCGAGACTTTGTTGAACAAAGTCTCGGATTGGGGGCGACTAAATCTAGTCCAGTTCAATCCCCAGAAGACACAAGTTTGTTCCTCTTGTTGCTTCATCCAGTATCGGAATCCTCGGCGTCGACATATCGTGTGACGTGCATTTTCGTGGTCTCTTGGAAGAGAAGGCCAAATTGGCCTCTAAAAAATTTGGCGTGTTCAGCAGAGCGGGACAGTATTTCATGTCGGCACACCGCCTGCAACTTTACAAGGCGCAGATTCGGCCTCACATGGAATACTCTTCCCATCTCTGGGCAGGGGCTCCCCAGTGCCAGCTCCTTCCACTTGACCGCATCCAGCGTAGAGCGTTTCGAATCGTTGACGATCGAGTTCTTTCTGATCGGCTTAACTCACTAGCACTGCGTTGAGACGTTGCATCTCTTTGCTTATTTTATCGCATTTACCATAGGGAGGGCTCTGAGAAATTGTTCGGACTAATTCCAGCCGCTCAATTTCACCATCGCACATCGCGATAAAACTTGCGATACCATCCATACTACCTGGATGATTTGCAGTCTACCACTGTGCGATTTAGATGTTTTCTTCTTCGCACACCTTCTTTGTGAAATCGATTACCACCAGCGATTTTTCAGGACTGATACGACTTAGGGACCTTCAAGAAAAGAGCCTACTACTTTTTAAAAGGCCGGCAACGCATCTGCAATTGCCCTGGTGTTGCAGTTGTTCATTGGCGGCGGTAGTCACTTACCATCAGGTTAGTCGCATGCTCGTTTGCCCCCTCTCCTATAAAAAAAAAACCTATTCAAATCTGTCGCCAAATTGCAGCGCCTGCACTGCTGTGTTCCGGTCTGAAGGGTACGGAGCGCCAGTAACATTACAGGCTGTGGGGCATTCCAGCCTTTAATCTCGCTATGAAGTATCGTCGGAACGTGGTAGTCATGTTGCATCTATATTAGTAGTATAGTTGTAGCACGATTCGGTCGGCTCGACCAGGGAAGGACCACGCTCTCACAGAATACCAGCGTAAAATAGCAGCTTAACGCTGCTGTGTTTTTTATGACCCTTTTTTACTGGAAAAGAGGCATTCTATCTTAGTCATCACGGCTGACAACGCATCTGCATTTTAATTCGCAAACGAAGATAGGTGTAGATGTCTATGGGCCACAGCCCATCCACTTACCATCAGGTGGACTGTGTGCTCGTTTGTCACCCTTATACTATAAAAAAGCACGTTCTGGGAGCAATGCTATCAGCAGCCTATGAAATCAATTTGTAGCTTCTCGTCCCTCACTCAATAAACAGAACATTCCGTGGGCAGTTGAGGTCGGCATATGAAGAAAAGTTGGCGATTCCCTTACTACATTCAAGTCAGATAGTTTAATAAAGCAAAAGGGGTACATAATCATTATAGTACCCCTTTTGATTTATTACAATTTTGTGCAGGGTTATTCTGCAATAACCGTACAAATTTGCATAGAAGATTTAAAATAAGTAATATATGCCTATATATTATAATGGTGAAGAAAAATTAATTATTAAAAATCTCAAACATTTATTTTTGTCTTTTAAATTCAAAATGCGTGGTAATGCATTATTATAACTGATTTTACTGCACACGCACACATTCGTAAGGATCGATCGGTAGACAAAGACGTTGGTGACCATAAATCACCTTCAATTTTGGATAATTTAAAATAAAAGTAGAAGCCTTATTAACTCGTTTTCTCAAAAACTGCAATAACGGTATATCATTGTGTTTATATATTTAAACTTAAGTTAAAAATTTGGCTACACTTTGAAAAATAACCCTGTATATTATTACTTCAGTTTACATAATAATAACGCTTTAGAAGTTTCCAATTTTCTTTTCACATTAACTTTCGATAACTTTTCTAGGTAATGGTGTGAACTTTGAGATTACTTTCGAGGGTGGTTATTAGTTATATTGTGGGTTTAATCTGATCTAAATACGGAAAATAATATGACCCAATTTCAGTAGCGATAAACGTTATTTGATTATTTTTACATTACTGTGAATACACGAACGTTAAGTTTACTTTTGACAAACGAGCATACAACCTACGTAAGTGAATGATATGGCCCGTAGACATTTACACCTACTATCAACTTAGACGTAATGCCTCGTTACTAGTAAAAAGGGACTTCGATATTCTACATTCACCATACAAATGTCAGTAGCAATATTCTGCTGTTTCACGCTGGTATTCTGTGAGAGTGTGGTCCCTGGTCAAGTCGACCCATTGTTGATGCAGCTGTATATAGCTGAATAAGGGGCTCTACCTTGAAAAAATATCTTAGGTCTTCAAATAGGTCATTTTTGTTTGTTTCATTTTAAGAACATTCTTTTATTCGGCTGCGTTATCTTTATATTTTACTAACTGTCATATTCTATAAAAGTATTTTTTTTAGAAATAAATGAATTTCTATTTTAAAATTACTTTCAGTGGTTTATAAAAATATTGAAAGGTATTATAATGTATAATCAACGACTTCATTTCAAAATGTTTAACTTTTATATAGTTTTACAAATTAAGGCATTAAGAACTTTTTATACTATATATGCTAAAATATCGGATACTTACAGTATATCCAGCGGCAAGGACTGTGAACAGCTTTTATAAGATGCCTCGGGGCGGTGATATTTCGAAGGCACAGACTGGTTCATCTGCGTACGCTCCATGAGGACCCCATTGACTATACTTTTATTAAGACATTGTATTACTTCCGTTCCCCTGTATCACTTTTGTCTTGATATATCTTGAACGCTTCAACTTTGTCAAGTTTTTTGCTTGTATAATTTTGCATTCAAATCTCATTTTAATTTTGCTAAATATTAAACACATTCTGAAACAAGGTTTTTTGTAATTCCGAGCATTTTCAAAATGACTAAATAAGCTGAAATACGCTAAAAATATCTAAAAGCATTTGTCTTTATATATGGCAAAATATTATTTTCTGCACTTAATCATCAACATTACACATACCATTTTGAAACTTTTGCAGCACATGCACCTGTAAAAGAAAAAAATAGTATTTAAAAGTTGTAACAGTACGGAATTCACTAAATTATAATTTATTTTGTAGGTGTAAGTTCATTTGGTATTTTATATATTATGCTCTTTCTAGTGTACATAGTGGCCTCGAGAATGTTTTGCGAAATTCAAAAAAATTAAGTTTAATGTAATTCGCCTATTCTCTTCATTGAATTTTTTCACTGCTAGCACGTTTTCTTCCGTAATAGCCGTCAAAGGCTACAATGAAGAAGAAAAGTGTATTTTTTCGCCTCTCGAAGTTAACCAACAGTACTGAAATTTATTATATCAGCCGAACACTGTTGCCTTAGAAGGACCTTTATCCATAAGTGCGATTTGAAGTTTATCAAACGATTCGTCCGGTTTTAGATATTAATTGAAATCGTGAAAATCATCGCGGGAAAATGTTCTTGACGCAGATCCAAAAAGGAGAAGGTTCTCAGTTCGGAGGTTTTTATATATTTTTTTATGTTCAGACATTTTAACATAGCTCTGTAATATTTAGACTGATTTGCAAAATTGTTTTTTGTTAGAAAAAGGTTTATTCCGAAATGGTCCTATTCAAATTTCATAAAGATCTGATGATGAGTTTCGGAGATAGACAGCGAACTTTTCAAATAAATGCCAGCAAATCAATTGCGATTGCTGCTATCGCATATCTATTTATCGTTTACATAATCACACTACATAACATCACGCCTGTACCCTCTAAAGGGATAGGCAGATATGTTCAGTATACCATAGTAAACCCTCATTTCTATCAAAATTGTTACATCGAGGTCAATTGTACAAAAATTAAGAAAATGAAAAATTCGTATTTTTACTTGTAAATAATCGTATATTCAAATATAACTTTTGCAAAACTTTCTGCGTGGCTTCTCATATATATGATAAAGTCCATCACCACGTATCGTGACCTGGATCTCTTAAGAGTCGACAATGGAAAGTGCCAGGAAGATCTCATAGGCTCTCATAGATTGCGGTTAAACCATCTTCTCAATTCTATGAGACGTAATATATTCAGACAGTTGAATGAAGTTGACAAACGAGCACACAGTCCACTTGATGGTAAGTGGTTACTGTGGCCAAAAAACATCTACATCTATCCGCAATTACGAATTAAAATGCAGATGAGTTGTCACCCGTGAGGACCAAGATGGAGAGCGTTGTTTCCAGTAAAAAGAGTCTCACCATGCGAAACAGCAGTGTTGAGCTGCTATTTTATGCTGATATTCTGTTAAAGCGTAGTGCTTTCCCGGACGAGCCGATCCGTTTGTGCAAAAACTATACTACTAAAATAACTGCAACATGGTACGTAAATTAATCTAATATATAAAAAAATAATATTTGTTTGTTCGTATTTTATGTGCTGCCATACCATTGCATTGGTTAGATTGCGGTAAAACTTTGTCAAATTATTGGTTGCACTTGCGCGAAGGTTATAGGCATAGTAAAATTAACTTACGAGTACAGTAGGTGGCGCGCTTATCGTATCGACAAATTTATTTGAAAGTTATATATTTATCATTCAATTTCAATGAATATATTATCATTTTTAGTTAAACAATATAACTCTTACAAAATTTAAAATTGTATTTCTACATTTAATTCTTCCGCGGTAGCAACGCGTCGGGTACCAGCTAGTTATCTATAATTAATACATTATCAAGTCATAAATTGAGTTGTATTGAGCTTCGTTTACATTAATATGCTTCTGCCGCTGCCACTTGCGCTGTCGTAATCATTTATTAATTTGTTCATTACAGCCTATCAAATTCCACTGCTAAACATAGGCCTCCTCATAAATCTTTCCATAGTTGCCACACTTAGCAACCAAGTTGGCAATCGCAGTTTTGTATTTTGTTGTTGTTATTAGAAATATTTTGCTGCCCATCTCCTGGCTTGCTTCCCTCTGTCCCCACTTACGACACACACGACGATATGGGGTAGTGGAAACTATTACAAGGCCACTACACAGTTATGCAGCGCTGCCATAAAAAACATCTGCGGCAACATCAAATAAAATGAACTCTTTCGATTTGATAGATGATATTGAATAAAAGTCAAACGACTGGGGCTTGGGGGGGAAAGAGACAGAACTATTTCCACGAAATAAAATGAGTTCGTAAGACTGTGTTGTTACTGTGTTGGTAATTTAAACGCAAAGTATTTTACGGTCAAAGTTTAAGTTCTCCCGGAGATTTAAATAACATTGTATTTTTAAAGCCTATTACCATGTACACGTACATGTACATATTTTACGTTGTAGAGCTGCAGCTGCGGTGCAATTCTGCTACATTCTTTTAGAATATAGCACAAATGGGTCACCTTAACCGAGGAAGAACCATGCTGTCACAGAATAATAGCGTGAAATAGCAGCTTAATTCTGCTGTGTTTTTTATGATGAGAATAGAAAACCGAAGACCCTTTTTACTGGAAATGAACCATCTTAGTCTTCAGAAGTGACAACGCTTCTCATTTGAATTGTTAATCGAGGATAGATGTTGTAGATATCTATAGGTCACAGCATCCACTTACCAAGAGGTGAACTGTGTGCTCTTTGGTGTCTTAATTCAATAAAAAAATACGCTAATGCTCAAATATTAATCAATCAATTTTTTAACAAGTTTGTATGTGCCAAAATTTAGTTTAATGTTAGGTTAGGGCGCATTATTTATTGCGACAATCGGAAAGTTTTGTATATTTTTTTTATAAATAGCTTTAAGGCTCTGGGTTCGAGCCCTTCTGAGCCTGAAGTAACAATGTATAATCATCTTTCTTAGTACACTGCCTCACGATAAGTTGATGCGTCACATTGTGCAGCCCTTGGGAGATTTTGACGGCAATTTAAGCCAGCAGACAGCTGACAGTTGGCGATGGTATCTCAAGGCGCCTAAGCAGACCATTTCCACTAATAGTTCACATGCGCAGACACTTAATACACAAAATCGCATCACTTTTACATATCAAATTCCACTTCAAACCATTATTTAAACAATAATACAGGGGCAGCAATCCGCCGCCGGTCAAGTTCCCGCCAAAACTCCTCTTATATTTTTATATTTTATTCCTTCACACTACCCTCATTTTGTTATTAGGAAGGAGTATTATTTAATATTTTCAAATCATTTAGGGAAGTAATTGAAAACAGAACAGCTATTAATAGTATGTATTATCAAAAATAAAACTAGTTATAAGCATTGACACACTAATTTTGGATTTGAAAAAATGTTTACACCATAACCGATACTTTTAATTTACTGCGTTTTTGTGCAGTTTAGAAGCAAACACAAATAGAACAAGTACATTTTGTCACATACGGATTTTAAACGATCAAAACGCTAACATAATTTTAATAAATATGAAACTGGTTCGAATATTACAAAATGGATTTTATATACATATTAGGGATGTAATTATGCAAACAGTTTGGAAGATTGTCCCTTTTGCCGTGTAATATCGGTGTAAGAAACTCCACTATCATCTCGTAAGTCGACAGAGCGAAATGGAAACGAAAATGGACTGCAGCACCTTCCTGATAACAAATCAAAATAATATCAAACTACAATGGCCAACCAGCTTGACAATCGTGGTAAAAAGGGCAAATATGAGACAAACTATGGAGGATGCCTATGTGCAGTAGTGGACTTTTGATAAGCCGAAATGGTAATTATTTAGTATTTTTAAATGACATAACATAAGCTTCACGCCTGTAACTCAAACGGACAGGTTACGGATATCGACGTATCGTATGTTCGTCGGTTAAGGGTACTTTTAATTTGGCCCATCTCCAATATGTCGCTAATTTGGTCGATAAACTTCAATTTAAGGCTTCCCTTGTCAATTCTACCACTCACACTTGTACAGCATCAATTTGCTTTTTCACTCTTCCCTCATCCAGATGAATTTTCAGTGCCCGAATCACCGAAACATTCCTTTCTCAATCTTCGTCACATTTTCGTGTAAACAAATGAAAAAGCTGAAACTACTTTTCATTTCACTAAATAAATTGGATTAAATGGAAAAACATTTTCTAAACTACGGCACTGAGTTAATTTAAGTGTTTGTGTCTAGTATTATTTCGTTTTCGGGTCTTACAGTTGAAATAATAATATTGATTAACTTCATCAAAGTAAACAACATTAAGTCACAGGTAGTATTAATATGAAAAAAAAAAACATGTTAATAAATCACGGGAGGGCCGTGTCCAATTGGCCAGACATAAAAACGTCTGCAATATGTGACTAGAACTTTCAATTGTTTTATTTTCTAGCTTTTGGTAGTTTGCTGTACACACGTACAGTATTCAATACATACTATTTTTTGAACTTGTTCTAAGCGTATTGGTGGCTGGTAGCGATCACCGAATGGTAAGAGGCACATTGAACCTTAATGTTAAGTTGGAGAGGTCACGTCTAATGAAGTCAATGCTCCGTCCCCCTCGTGCTCTAATCCAAAGCCCCGAAAACTTTCAGCTCGAATTACAAAACTGTTTTAGTGCCCAGAAAATTGCAATACAGTGGATGATAAGAATGACAAGCTTCTGGAAACGAACAGTTTCCAGGGGCTTGTCATTGCGGTCGGGGCTAAGTTCTGCAAGAAACTCAAAAATTCTCCCATCACGCTCATAAGTTCATGGCTGTTAGAC